TCTTTTGAGATCTTTCCTCACTCAAAGCAATTGATAAGGGAGAAGAAAATCTCATACTATCATTAAAATGTGGAAAAGACAAGTTTTTTTATTTTTCTAAGCTAATTCCGAAAATCTGAGAATGATGATCTTCGGTAGTTTCACGACATGATCTCCAATTGGAGGTAAAAAATCGAAAGAAATATAACAACAATCTGTCTGATGTAAGTTTGAGTAGTCATTGGGAGGAACATCTCTTAAATATGTAACTGTAAGCACTTTTAAGCCAGAAATAAATACTACATAATTTAAGATAGAATATTTGATTAAGTTTTAACATGGGTAAAGAGCAATATTCTATATGAAAACAAGAACATAGAGAGTTCTGGTTAATAGTTTCTTATTGTCGAAATAATCTAATTTTACTGTATTTTGTAGCTGAATGCCGTTGTTTCTTTTAGGAAGATCAGAAAATCCGAGTTTTGAATTAAAAACTTGAATCCCTTTTCCTAAAGGCATTCTTTAATGATATTAGCTTATTGTCAAAGTTTTGACTTGTCGATAATATCTATTCTCAAAATAATAACATCGATATTTGTCGTTGTATATATGCGACGTGAAAACTATTGTTTCATCCCATAGTCGTTTCTTAGTATAGCATCAATTAAAACGTCTCAAACTTTTTCTTTAAATTCTGCTTGTTTGTAGAGTTTTAAATCGAAATTCTAAAATAAGATTTCGCTGATGTTCCTAAGGATAATCACAGGAGTAATATCCTATTAATTTGAACTATTTACAGAATATTCATAGATCATTAAAACCAACATGATGCACATAATTCAAATTCAAAAGAGATTTTATATTAACAACAAACATTTTTTCGTTTGTTTCTCTTCAATTCAAATTAAACGCGATTTTTTAAATACATATTAATTTATTTTAATAAAAAAAAATTTTCTTTTTCTTTTTAATTTTGAATAAAATATTGATTCAACTTATATTTTAGTCTATAAATTTTTAACAATCATTATTAATCAATTGAAAATAATATATTATATTAGTTAATTACTTTTCTTTATTTTTTTTTTAAATATCTGATGAATTTATTTAACTAATCTAATAATTAGATTAAAATATTCTCAATAGAGATATATCAAACAATTTATCTTAGAGATGAAAATTAAAAAAAAACAGAATGAATATTATTGTTTAGTCTTAAATAAAGTTCGATAATCTGCACATATTTAATGTATGTGAATTATGTATACATGTATATACACCTTATGTTCACCTATATATATATATACTAACAAAAGATAAATAGATGTCTACTAGCGATTATGTTCACCAATAGAATAGCATCAATGTTCGTTCTTTACTTTACTTTTCTTTTCTTTTCTTTTCTCTTTTTAAAATATTGAGAGAAAAAACTATGTATATTATTATTTGATGATGCGCATTCATTTCGTTCTATTCTTCTTCGTTCAATCGACAGATATCCTTGTCACTTTATATGGATATCATTCTCTTTTTTTTTATTTTCGCTTGAATAGTTTCTGTTTTTGACTTCTATTCATATTCATTTATTTATCTATTGGTGATATTATCAATAATAAGTAGGTTAGTTAGTTTACTCAGAGAATTTTATTTTGAAATAAAAAATTCAAAAAATAATTTAGATGTTTTCTATCATTTCAAAAACTACTAACATTTATTTATTATATATTAAATAATATAACAATAATAGAGAAAATTCTATTTATGATTAGTTATAAAAATCTTCGAAAATTTTATTGATAAATTTCGACATAAATAACTATTGATTATTAAACAGTGAAATATATTTTTATTTATATGTAGATAAAAACAAAATGATACTATTTATTTTACTTTTTCTTTTTCTTTTTCGTTTTATCTTCTTATTTCTATTCATTCTATAAAAATATTCGAATTTCTGAATAGTTTTTGTCATTGAAATTATACATATATATTAAATGTAAACAAAAATCAATAATGAAAATATAAACTAACAAAAAAAACTGACTAACTTTAATAGTTTATTGATTGATTGTAGTAGAATAAAATAAAAATGAAGAAATCTCCTATATTTAGATTTTTTTCTGTAAAATGTATTTGTGTTTTTTTGTTTTTTTTGTATTGGATTGTCTAAGTCAAAATGAATATATTGATATAAAGTTAGAATTAATAATCTATAACTACTATGAATATATATATCTTAATATTTCGGTTAACATTAAGATACTTTTGTTTTTTAATAATAAATAAGTTTATCTAGATTAAAGTTTATCATAGAAAAATGAAGAATAGAAGATTATGGAAAATTTTTAATAATTAATATATTATCTGAAAAATATATTGATTGTAATGTCAATATCAATAATGAAAATGTATCTTTGATTTTTTCTTCCTATTTTAAGTATAAAATAAAACAAAAAGAAATTCTCTTAAAAATTTCAATTAGATTATTGACATTCTCATAGAAATAAATATATAATTGGTATAAAATCTTGATTTCGATCTAAAACGTAGTCGTTAATAAGAGTTATATAGTTAAAAATTTTCTGTTAATATATTCTACGATGTTTAGTGATAATTGATATAACTCGCACGAAAATAAATAAAATTAATATAATTTTATAATAAATATGATTCATCTTATTTATGAATTTTATTAATAAAATAAAAGAGAAAAATATTTTTTTTTTATTCATTCAAAAAACTAATATTTATTATACAGATAATGTTAACTCCAATTATCTATCCTATAAATTTCAATGAATGATTAAACAATTATAATCATTTTATTTTAATCATCAATTTAGAGGAAAATCATATGAAATTATTCTACGAAAAATAACTCATTGAATATTTAAATGATCCATTGAAATTTTTTCATAATATATATATTAATCCAATAATAATCACTATAACATTTCTTTCGAGTATAATTTTCTTTTCTAAAAATTTCAGAAAATAATATTTAACTATGAGTTAATATTTTATGAAAAATTTCTATGGATCTCTTCAATTTTCACTAAATTATCAATTTTATAATGATTTAATATTGTTTCCATCTGCATTAAGGATTAGAGTAATAATCATCATTATTCATTAAAGACTCAAGAAAATTAATATTATTAATAACTTCACAAAAATATTACAGAATTATATGTTGACTTTGTGAAAATCTCTTTATTTTTACTAATTATTATGTTAATAAGGAATGTAATCCTTACTTATTATAACTGAATATTGAATGAAATAGTTTAAGCGCAAATGACGTCGATTATAGACATTTATCGTAGAGTATATTCATAGAAAATTTCGGCTGTCTAACTTTCATAATATCTACAGCTCAATCGAAGGGTAAGGAGATAAGGACTTTTAGAGAGTATTCTATATTATTTATAAGAATCTCAAATAAACCAATTTTTCTATTGACCAATATTATATCGAATTACTCATTTATCATTAGTACAAACTGTAATTTATCATCGCTTAAAGATTTTAGTTATATATAAACATTTAGATCATTGATTTCATATGTATCTTTAGACTTTTTACCGTATTTTCTTTAGTGATTTACCAGAAAGAACTATGAACTTTGAAAGAATATTCCACATTCCGAAGGGACTATTTTGAAAAACAATTTCATCACAATTGATAGACATCATAAATAAAGAGTAATTGACCCAGATTCTGTTGCAACATCTCAGGAAGCTCAGTGAAATGATAAAATAACCCATATGTAACTGTCCAACGAGGTTAAAAATGCAACAAAGCGCTTATTATAATTGTTCAGAAAGCACGATGATCACTTCAGAACAAATATCTATCCTGAAGAAAATGATTCGTACGAATCACTTCGAACTTATCATATAAAGACAAAAGAACAGAGAAAATCCGATAACTTCTCATAAACCTTTGAAATGAGTCAGTAGATAAAGTTCAAACTTCGAACTCGACGAAAATCATCTTTCATGTGTTTCATCAAATCAGCCACTTACAGAAAATTTCTTCAACTATCAAGTCAAATTTCCTTGCCCAAAAAAAAAAAATTTCTTTATATTTTTTCTAACTTTCCAAAAGAAACTTTCTTCTATTAAACTGAAGCAATATTTTGTTTGGAATCAAAATATGAGAAAAGATAATTTGAAGCAATTTAGCGAGGAAAGAATTTGCGGGAAAGTTTGAGTTATTTTTAATACTCAAAGAGGAAGCATAATAATCACGAAAATACTCACTTCTCATTGAAAACTCTTGACTCATTTAAAAGATAGTTTTTGTCAAATGAAAATATTTAAGATGATGATTCTTAAGCGGTTGGAAAGTGAAGAATCTAAGAGGAAGCTAAAGAATCTCATTCATACTCTAGTCAGAAACTGTGTCAGAAATTATCATCGAATCTACAGATTATTTTCGAATGTAGGAAATGGAGGAAGTCGAGTCAGAAATAGAGATAAGCGCTTACTTTAGATCTTACTGTCGGAAATCAATGAGGATTCCGAGGATCTCACCCTACCTTCTTCTTCTCACGAAATTTAACAATTATATTTTATATATTGAAATTGCGTCACAACATTTCAAAATGTCGTTTACATAGTAACAAAAAAAAAAGTGTTTAGAGTTTCAACTTTTTCTGAGTTATTTATTTGTATCAATGCAGAAAACTGATCATATATTAAATGCATTAAAATATTCTTCATATAAACGAAATGTACAAAGTCAAAAATATTTCCATTTGAAAATGTTTATGTCTTTAGGCGTAAAACGTGAAAAAATACTTTGCTGGTAAAGCTTTACTTGAAAATATTAAATTTCGTATATTTGTCACTTTGGACAATGAGGTAACAGGCAGAAAATTAAGAATTATTCTAATGAACAAATTTTATATTTTTAAATCGAATAAAACGAAAATTTATTTTATTATTATTCTTTGTTTATTTTAAGGAGTTAACTAAACATTATTAAAATCGAAGTTGAACAAGGAGGTTGATAAAATGGTTATAACAAGTGTTTCAAACATTCCCATATCACAATCATTATCATTAGTTGGAGATCCTGAAATACAACGAATTAGAAAATTTCTTTTAATCGCAATTGCTATTTTACTTGTAAGTTTTTATTCTTATTATTATTGAACAATAATGAGAAAAAAAAAAATATTTATGTTTTCATTTTGATTTTTTTTTTTTTTTATCTATATAAATTCGATTATTTTCACTAAATATATTATGAAAAAGTCAGTTAGATAACCTACTAACGATCAATGTTTGCGTTATTTAAGAAAAAAAATATTTTTTAAACCTTCTCAAACTGAAATTTATCATAATGTTTCATAATAAAATATATTTTTTTTAATTAATAAAATCCTATTTTTATATACTTACAATAAATGAGTATGAAAATAAACTTGCTTCATTATAATTAAAAACATTATTTTATAAAATCTACAATATTCTTTATCGAATAATATTTATACTATTTTGTCAACTTTTAAACATTGATTCAGAGAAAATTCGAACAATCTATATTTAATTAATATTATTATTATATTTAATATTTAATATGTTTAGGCATTTTCTCTAGTCAGTATAATTACTGTTATTTCTGGAAAGAGAATTGAAGATGGTATTAAAGAGATTCATGGTGGTGTGCAATTTGGTCAATCTATAATTTTACTTTTTTTCTATATATTTGGAATATTCGTTGTTTATCGTTATTATGAAACAGGTTTACGAGTGGTACGTTTTTTAAATTTTATTTTTATTTTTTAAAATAAAAAATCTTTTGTTTTAACTTTAAAAATAGATTTCATTTTACTTTAAGAACTTTTTAGAATTTGAATATTATTTTTATCAATTTAATTTTATTAAATAATGATTTGAATATTTATATATATATATAAAATCTCTTTCTAAAACATATCCATTTAAAATATTTATTTTTCAATTCGTTTTAGCTCTATTAGAAATAAAATCCTTGGAAGTATCCTAATTTTAGTAGTTGAATTAAACAAATAATGAATTTTACGATTTATTTTACATATATAGTTTTATCTTAGAGAATTTATTTGATGTTTTATTTTTTATAAATTATTAATATTCATATAAAATAGAATAACACAACTGAATGATAATGATCTACTTTAAATGTGTAATATTTATACCATAGGGTTTATTCACCAATGAAACAATCTTATTGAAAAATTTGTCAAAAATCTTATAAAGAAATTAAATTGAACAGTGGCGGGCCACCATAGTGGCATAGTATGCCAGTTGCCATACCAACATTTTTTATTCGTTATGGACTTTCCTGTACTACTGTTTTTTTTTATCCAATCTTTAATCGAGAGCCAGCAAAAAGAAAAATAAGACCATAAGTGACTCCTGCTTTTCTATTGAGGTATCCTCAGATACGCTCGATTTCCCCGTTTTTCTAGAGATGATATAGACATTGATTATTTATTTGTTCTTTTTTTAGTTTTTATGGAATTTATAAGTGTTTTCCGGATAGTTTTTAATTAAGAAAAGAAATATTAGGTAAAGCCTTATGTTTTCAAGAACATTTTATTCATATTCTATTCTTTGGATATTATTTTTTGCTATTGGTTTCAAAATGGAAAAGTATCAGTACCATTGAGACATCTTTAACTTTAAGGAGGTAATGAAGTAATGTTCGTAATTAATCAAAACATATAGTATAAAAATCCTTTAAACATATGTTTATCTATTGACTTATTTAAAGTAACTTATATTTCATTTCAACGAATATATTCTTCATCTTCAAAGTGATAAACTTTCTATAATACATTTATATATGGATATAGATAGATAGATAGAGGAGAAGAAAAGAAACTGAACAGAATTAGTCCACTTAATCATGAAAAAGGCTACTATACTAGAAACTTCTTAGCATAACAATCGAAGTATATGAACAAAATTTAAGGTTCGGCTTTGTTTTATAAGTTTCTTACACTTTTTAATAATTTTGCCATACCAAAAAGAATGACCCTGGTCCGCCGACGAAATTGAACAATAATTTATATGTCATTCGTAATCTAATAATATTTCATGAACAATCAGTTGATTAGTCAATTTCTCTTTCTATTACATATTAATTGATGTCGATATTTTTCTAGTGTTTTTTTTTACAATGCATTATTTGTTTACTAAAATATCGGAAGTAAAACTCCTTGTATGCATATATATATATAATGCAAAATTCGACGAAAAACTTTCTATCAAATTGAAGTTTTTTATTTTCTGAAGTCGAAAACATCGAGAAAACTAATGAATATAAATGTAGTAAGATCATAATAAAAAGATTTATCAAAAAACGACTTTTGACACTTTTAATTATTTCGAGATCTTAAAATAGAGGCTCATATATTCTCACTCAAGAATATTGGATATATTTGCGCTAAATTAAAGAGTTCACTGTCGAATCCAGAAATTAAAAATAAAATGTGTTTATGGAATGTGAGGATCGAGATATTCAAATTTTAAGGTATTTCATTGTATAGATGTGATGTGTACAATTCAAAATTTTCGAAGTTTTTTTTTTTTTTTCGTCCTTTTTCATAATGATCGGATAGAACTCTTTGAATTGTATAAGAAAAAGTGATAGTTCGAATTGAATAAGAAAGTTTTAGAAAAGTGAAGTTTCAATATAATTATCCTCTTATTTTAAAATAATATTATCTTGAACTATTTTTTTATAAATTTCTTATTTTATTTCAAGCATAACTTTTTCTAATGGAACTCGATGGAATCTATCCTATCTCATTATGAAAAATAGAAAAAAAATCTTCTAAAATTTTGAATTGTGCATATCATATCTATGCGATGAATACATTAAAATTCTAATTTATAAATCTACACATTCCATAAACATTTTATTTTAAATTTGTGGATTCGACAGTGAACTCTTCCATGGTTCGATATGCGCGTTGATATTCGAAGGTTTTGAAAAAAAAGCTAAAACAACATGTTGAATTAATAGTTATACGACAGAACGTTCGTATTAACAATTGATATTTTCATTTTTTACGTTTAGTTTGGTTGGCTGGGCACAATTATAATGATTATAATGGCCATTTTAATTGTAGTTCTTCTCTTTGTTGGTATTGCTGCTTCAGCTACCAAAGACCTTGATAATGATAATGATAACAAGAATCCTATGACTGCTGTTTCAATGGGTATCTTTGTAACTGTTCTTAGTTCAATTGCTCGTTTGATTCTTACAGTAAGTATATAAATCTCATTCATTTCGATTTCGATTTCTATTATACTTATTTTATTTCGTAGATAATCATTATAATATTTGCCTTCAAATTGGCGAAACTTATTGATGTAAAACGATCTTTAGCCATTCAACAACCTAATGTATGGTTTACTCATTAATTTAATCATATTGACTTTTATTTAGTTTCTTTTATTTGTACTTTCTCATTTACTATTTCTTTCTCATCTAAAAATCTAAAAATAAATGTCAAAATTCTTTTTCATTATCGATAAATTCCTAAATAGAACAATTATTTGTAGTTTTAAATAATGTTCTATAATAAATGTTAGTCTTTTTATACTTCCGAAATAGAATAAATATTGTTTAAACTGTTATCATATTTCATTAACATATGATGAATATAACATATGAAAATAATTAAAAAAACCATTTGATTTTCTATAATATGTAATAAAATTTTACTAGAACTAACCTTTAACGATATTTTCTGGTTGATCTTCAAGGTATGTTTTTATTCGACTAACACATATATTATTCTAATAAATCAAAATAGTATTACAGTAAATCTAAACCGTAATAATATTTATTATGTTATTTCATATATCAAATTGTATACATCTCAAACATAATACAAGTTTATAGATCAAAGAAAGATATAATAAATGTGGAAACCTCGGATTTAAATCCGAGAGTTATGTGTACTTCAAAAAGTGAATTAGACAGATGAGTCATCCTAGAATGTGTGGGCATCAAAATTATCCTGGCAAATCTTTTCTATAAACACTTGACTTCTATTAGCTATTGCTCACCCAATATGACTTGGGGGCGAATACAGCTCAAATTTGAACTCTTTCCCTTGATTTACCCTAAGAAAGTCGTTTTTCCTATAACTTGATTTCTATTGGTCACTGCTTAACCAATAGTATTTCGATGGAAATGGAGTACAGATTCGAGTTCTCCACCCCAGAAAACCTCGAAGCATCATCACTGTGATCGGAAGATAGAGCTCTAAACGTGGATCAATTAGATCGCGGACTAAAACATAACCTAGTTCTCTTTACTTATCTTTGTGATAGGTAAGTCAACCTTCTTGTTTCTTTATGTTTTATATACCATTTTGTAGCTCTTGAAATTCTCTATCGAATGGTATATAATAGTTGGGGTTTTAGTTGACTATGATAGGAAAAGTTGTTTACAAAAGCGGGAAAGGGTCGATCTTTCCATAGGGAAGGTATAGGGAAAAATGAGTATTTTTGCAATAACTCAGGAAAGGCTCGGCCAATCCTTCTCATCTTCGAATTCGACCGAGATATTGTTAAGACGGAACTGTGTAGAAAATTTCATCGCGATCTGACTCTCCTTTCAAAAGTTATCGTGTAAACAGACGGACGGCCGGACGGACACACTGACCGATTCTAGAGTGTACTCACTTTTTGAGTACACAAAAACCCGCTCAAAATTAGACTAAAATCGATTATTTTCGGATTAATAATCTATTAATATGACACTACTTGAATCTGATTAAAATAGTGCTAGTATAATAGGTTTTAGTCTGATTTTGTAGCCGTTTTTTTTTCACATGGATATATGCAGATCAGAAATGTGCACTATTCGCATGGAAAATACAGCGAATGCAACCGCGTCTAAATCATATTTGCTGTTAAACTCGATTAGTAGGATTTTTTTCAAAAACATATACCTTAAACGTTGAAAAGTTAAGAGTAGAGATTTATTCATTGATAGACGTGCATGCCATTCAATGTCATTAAATATTTATTTACCAATCGTTATTGCTTTTCATAACCTATAAAACTATAAATTTTCCAAACTCAAAAACTTTGAACCTTTTAATAAATTCTAAGGATTTTTCGTTGTTCATATGAAACTTTTGGTGGAATTCATTTTCGGTTAACTTCTATGAAAAAGTCAGAGAAAACTTTTCCAAGAACAAAAAAAGCTCATGAAAAATGATTATTTGAATTTTTAATGCTAACTCTAAAGCCTAAATTAGTTTTGATTAAAACTAAAATTTCTCTAATCAAAACTTACATTAAAACTCGTCAATAAGTCATAAAATCATATATCTAGAATATTATGCTTAGGATTTCTTAGACACTCAGAATTCTTAATGATATGAATATGTGAGTGCCGGTGTGTGAATTAGGATTTCAGTCTGGGTACACAAAAGATCTGCACCTACATTCGCACACACATCGATATTCACATATCTGCAACAAATTATTCTAATGCCGAATATTAAGATATTAAGAATGTCCTATTGAAAAAAGTCTAATATAAAACTAACAAAAAAAACTTACGAAGTATTAATGATTCGTGGAAATAAGAAAATATGTATGTTGATTTTATTTTATTCTAGATTTTTTATTGTTTTTAAATAAGGGTGTGGGTGTAGAAGCGACAAGAAGACTCACATCCACACCCTAGTTGATCAATGTGCATTTTGAAATCATAACAAAACGAATAAATCTCACAGTGAATTGATTTTGACTTTTTTTTCTGTGAATTCATTGATTTCAATTACGATAATCAAAAACCTGTAAAAAAATTAAACGAAAGGAACAATCAAAGTCAATACTGATAATTTCATGCTAAATAACTTTACATGTTGAGAATCAGTAAAGTGCATATCAAACAACAATAATTCATGTACTAGACTTTTATTTCGAACAGTTGTTTTTTTTTTTGGTCGTCATTACTAATGGAATTGTTCATGGTTGTACACCTCGCGTGGCATTCTATGAGCTCACTGTCCGTTCAATCGAAGTTCACCAGTTATTATAATGTGCCTGATCGATAATCAAGTTAATTTGTAGGAACTACTGAACTGTATGAGAAGTTACGTTCAATACATTACTATGTGGGTATGAATCGGTCACATTGTTTTTTTGTGTTCTGTACACCATTCAACGACTCTCAATAATTAAATATGAAAAGTGAAATAGTAGGTTATACTGACCATTTATACCACGCGTTTCTTTCTTTCTTAAAACAAACGGATAGCGTGTTGTGCGTCAGTGACCTTTAATATGAAGAAAATTTTATATGAGCGTCGCACCACATCTTTCCTTTTCTATTCATTGTTATCTATGGAGATTTTGTTTATCACGTTTTTATTTTTTTTCTTGATCATCGTACTATGTCACTTCGTGGTAACTGTGGTTCCTTATCTTTGTAAATATTACATCTAAATCAGTAGTATCAAATCTGAAACTTAAACTCAATTATTGAATGGTTTGTTCAACTATTCTTTTTCTTCAATAGCTACAGTTCAAGTATTCAATGTGTTTTTTTCAATATTTGAACTTCATCTATTCAACTATTCAATTTTTTTTCAATAGTTAAAGTTCGACTATTCAAGATATTCAATTTTTATAGAA